ATCTATACCTTCCTAGTCCTGACGCTGCTGGATGCCCAGAACGCTAGTGGTCGCGTGGTCGCTGGTGGACGCTGAGGCAAATAATGAAGAAACCTAATAGTCACTGGCTCGGAGATAGCTTTTGTCCTAGTTTGGGCTGCGACTTGGGATTGTGGGAAACCCACTAGAGCCAGGCACATTTTGGGAACAAAGTTCATCTGGCAGCAACCACAATCTACATCCCGGCTTCAACTTCACTAGTACCTAGGTTTTTCATGCAGAAAAAAGTTCACTACAGTTTGTGAAGCACTGCTTCTTGCTAAGGAATCATTTGTAGAAAATATCGACGGTTCAGAAATTAATACTGACCTAGAAGTAGACCCGATCTTACGTGTTTTCTTACAGATCCTTTGGTTTCGGGAGCTTCTCTTTCATACATAAGAAGCACTTGTTCAATGCTCTGCTTACCTGAAAAAAAGAACAGAAGTAAGTCTTTATTCACGGAATCTCCAGTCTCAGTAAAAAAACGTGTAAATAAAAAAAAATCTCTAATCACAAATAGTTCGCTTCGCATTCTCCTCGAACTGAGTCGACGCATTCACTCTCCTGGGCTGACGCATCATGGCCATACAGGGTGGGACTAGCGTACACTGCCTAGCTAAGGACAGTGCAAGGCATCGCTTCGACGGCTGCGTTATTTCCAGGCCGAATCTCCTTTTTCTTGTGTATATCCCTTTGCCTCTCTTCCGTCAGGTGAGTCGCAGCCATCGCAGCTACAACCTGCACTGTCCAAAAGTACACTCCGCATCCCAAAGGTGAGGAGTCCGTGGCTGCGCACTTCATTACGAGACGGTCCGCTGCGCTTTGGAAGTAGCTGTTCCAAAACAACTGCTACCATAACCTTGTCCAGTACAAGATAGGAGAACACTTGTGTGAAATGAAAATTTTCCACGAACAGTGCATCCTACGCCATGTTCAAGTTGAAGTATGTAGCCACGCCCATTACTCGCCGGGATGTGCTGTGTAGGCACGTTAACCCTGTTGCAGCAAAATTCTATGTTCACCAAAGTGTTTCTCGTTATTGTTCTCTTACAATCTAATCTCAGAAGTGAAATGACGAGGGCGGCCCATGACCACCTTGACCGAGGCGAGGGGATGGGCGGTATATAAGGGGGGGGGGGGGCAAAAAAAAAAGACATTTCGACCGAGTCACATATCACCAAAGTTTTCGCTGCCCAGAGAGAAGACGTGGATACGAGTACCAGGGCGGAGATAAGCCCCCAAGATGTTCCGTCCTGTGAGCAAGGGCTGGCGCTCGCCCATTCACCGTGATTCATGTTACGCAAAAACATGAAAGTCATCTCCAGTGCAGCCTGCTGGAAAAGACCTTGGTAATGAATTCATTGTCACCTGTCACCTACAGACTGCGATCACCGCATATAGTAGCTAGTCTGGAGACCAGTACTCGTCGATCTTGACTGACCTCCAACATCGAGTGCAGCTCCGACAACGTCGCTACAGGTCTAACGGGCGCATCAGTCTTCAGCCCTCGGCGCCAAGGCGCCAGTTGATGGTGTGGACCGGCACGTACCTGGAATGGGAAGACCGATATTTTCTTGTGGAGACCCGGACTGAAGGTGAGCGCTGGCGGTTACATCGAGCATTTCGAGAAAGACATAACTCTCTCCACATGTCGTCGCCCGTACCTTCTTGGAAACTTTGTACTGCTACAGGATTGGGTGACACCACATGAAATTAAAGTGCGTTGGGAAAACTCTCGCCTACTTGGAATGGAAGGGCGTTGAGTACCTGAAGAAGGTGAATATCTAAGCAGGCCTGCGCTAAACCCCTCAATTACTGGTTTGGGCGGAGTTCAATAGGTGGTCTACAGTGGCGGAGAAATCAACGATCTCGCTGAACTCAGGCCCACTCACGGTCGCGTGGCAGAATCTCTCGATGGCAGACTCCTCCCGGAAGGTGGGCGGAGTAAGCACGGTAAATGGTCCGATCAGCAACTTACTAAAGTGGTATACCTCTATAAGCGGGCCTAGGAAATTCAAGGAAGAAAAAAGTCTTTTTTTGCGCGCTCCCACCCCGCTGTAGCGCTGCGCGTCAAGACATTCTAGACATTATCTGCTGCCGGCTGGCCACCCTCAAGACATTCTAGGACATTATCTGCTGCCGCTGCCAAAGGTCAATATCGTCAGTTGTAGTCATCCTACTCAGTACTCGTACTTCAGCCAACTGTCTGGAGTATTCTTAGCAGCACTGTCAGCAATATCGCAATCGCAGCAATCAATCCCTTCAATCAATTTCCCTCGAGGTGACGAGAAATGTTACACTATTCCAATTATACAATACTCCCAAGATATCCATACTTCAATTTCCTCCTTTGATACTCCTGGAGGTGCGAGAGGATCAAGTAGCACTGAACCTTCCTCATCGTGTGGCCAGTTCAGTCGAAGGTGATGAGCGAGCGGGTTTACCACGCCAATTCTACAGTGTTCAACCTTCTCCCTCATTCATTTGAGGTCAACGTATTTCGGAGTACAAAAAGCTAGCTCTGCTATCTGGCACCCACTCATTTAATTGTGTCAAAACAAATGCTCATACAAATTTGCATGAGAGCCAAGCACCCTGTGCCTTAATGAAAGGTTCATTCACGCCTGACTTACACTCCTTATCCCTGAGCCAGAGTAGGCGTGGCATTTGAACATGGCACGGAACTGGTTACTCGTGGAATATTCCAGTCTGGGACAACTGTCATCTTGTTCTGGTTGGACAGAGACACGACAACAATTGTGTCAAGATGAAAATATCTCACCAGAAGCATAGACACCTTCAGGTTAAGTTGAAACATGCGGCCACGCCTACCCGATCTCAGGGATTTCGAGTATAATTCACTTTCATCGTGGATTTCTTGTGAGATGCTGTTTGTGTGATGAAGAGAAATGCTCACCAATGCCATGATAAAATTCGACAGATTCTTCTGCCATTTTTCTTTTCTTCCTCTTTACAAGAAGGAATCGTGGAGAGTCATGGAAGTAAAGAGCCATCAAAATTGAGAACATGGCTGGAATACATGCCAACCTATAATTCATGTAACTCTCAAATCATGTATACTTATGAGAAGGAAGATGCTCCCGAACATACCCAACAAGCCAGCCGAGCTTTGTTCCTAACACGCTGCCCATACCAGCGAGTGCACCAAGCATGTTTGTCACGACAAAAGCCATTTCGGCATTGAATGACATAAGTCCGCGTAACGATACCGGGGCCGACTCCTTAAAAACTGCAAGTCGTGAAAGTGTGAGGGATTGAGGTAAGTGATGGGGTCGCATTGCATGACTCTGTTGAATACGAAGTTCAAAAGTACCTGTAGTAGTAACACTAAGCTATTCATTGAAATTCCAGCTCCGACTGCGAAGATGATTCTGCTAATAATAAATAACGATGGAATAAGCCAAATAATAGCTGCAGTTGACAGAACAGCAGCCACGAAATTGGTCGAGTTACCGCATACAAGGC